CCTTGGGCACAGGACCTCGTCACGGTTTCCCAATAGCTTAATATATTTGGGTTATATAGGGGTTACATTGGGATAATGGACAAGAAATTGGAAACGACTATATTATGTATGGGTAAACTTGGAGTCAGCTTAAAGGGCAGTTTTTCAAAATGCAACCCTACATCATCGTTTAGGTCCTTACAACCGCTCGCGCCGCGCCTTTGCACAGGTTGCACAGCAAATTTCTTGGAATGCGAAGCCTAGTCTTTCGAGACGAATCCGTTCAAGTGCCTCAGTTCCAAACTGCGGAGGGAATCAATGCCTGAACTGGCAGTTACCAACAAGCATCAACCGATAGATTACCAGATACTAGTACGACTGACTATTATTTTTACGTGCCAGGTTGTTTTTCCTAGGCGTGGCTCCCTTAGGTGTTACTTCTCTTGGTCTTCTGGTCTTTGGTTGCGGCTCTTGGGAAGTTACGAATGCTGCAAGTTGCAGCATTTGGAGCTTTTGAACAGCTAGGAATACTGCAAATTGCAATATTTGTGGTTGTCGAAATGCAACGAATCCCGTCAATGACAGCATTTGGAGCTTTTGAGAAGCCAGGAAAACTGCACGTTGCAACGTTCGCAGCTTTGAAGGGTTATGCATACTTGCGTGGAAAGGCTATGAACGCCGTGCCGTAAATTACAGCATTGGGAGCTCTTGGAAAGCTACAAGCGTTTTGAAGGCCGGTCGCCATCCTCATAGCGGTCATCGTTTTTGGCCTCTCATATCTTCTTTGCGTGTCGAAAGAATCCATAATCGCAGGGATCAGGCAGGTAGGGGTTGCCATCCTCGTGCGTGTCATTGTTGTTGAACTTTCAGATCTTCTTTGCATCGCAAAATTGCCAACAGTCACAAGAACGAGCCTGTGAAACACAACGAGGTAAACCACACCACAAAAGGTGAGCCGCACCTAGGAAAACTTTCGGCCAATCTTACACATGATAGTAGATCGTTCTATATTTTTCCCTTGAGCATAGCAATGGTATGACGCCGCCTGCCTTGAAGTTGCCCCTCTTTGCACGGCCGGGCACTGCGGAGTCCGAACGGCCGGCGACGGGCCACTTGCAGCGGAGCAGCTCACAGCCAGCGAGCATTGGCCGGCCCCCTTGTCCTTGGAGTGAGCGGCCTTGGGGGATTCGGGATAAGAAGGAAAATAGAGGGATGGTAGGGTTCTCTCTAAGGGGGTTCGATGGGTTGTTTACTGGTTCTTCCCCTTTGTGCATGTGCTACGTGTGTGTGGCATGACCGTCGTAATCGTCTTATTTTGGTACAGTGTAAAAAACGCTTGGCACAGGATGTCGTTTTGTGCGTGGTGCAATACAGTTTTGCTGAACTCGAGTAGGTGACTGCGTTAGAGGGAACTAGTGGGTGGAGTTGGGCATTTCTGAATCTGATTATATGTTGGGGGGCCATAGCCACAATTTGTATCTACTCGGAGGCGTTTCGAAAGCTGTACTATGTGACCATGAACGTATGTTTCGTCTCATCCTAGGCCACCAAAGGTGCAGGGTGCTTGCTGGCAAGCGTCCAGCTCCGGCTCCAGCCCATGTAGCAGAGTCGCCTCGAAGGCTTTCAACAGCTTTGGCCAGAGTGGTTCACGATTCTCACAAACTGAGCGATTTGAGGCTGAAGAGGAGATTTGGACAACAAAGAGGTCACGCAGCAGCCATTCTTTGCTTGGTGGAGCACGTGGCAAGTCGACAAGCCCAACGAGGCACATCATCCAGCCAACGTAGAAACAAAGAGCTGGCATTTCTTACCCCTGACAAACAGGAGGTTATTCCAGAAGAAATCAAGGCCAAGGTGCTTGCTTTTGGCAGACCAGTGGTTGCTATTGAGATGGATTGGAGTGAGAGTGGCATAACCCCAGGTCATCTTCAGAAATCTGGCCACGATCCCATTGCCAACATCCTTGCATGGGGCGCCAAGTACCGTGCTCTGTCAGATGAGTTGACACAGCTTCTGGCCCCAGTAGGGGTTCGAGTGGTTGCCTTCCGCACTCCCACCAATCTGAGGCGACAAACTCACATTTATGATCGTTACTCCATGGAAGACAAAAGACGCCCAAGCAGCGTTGCTTCGAATGTGTCCTTCACAGGTGCAAGTCCCAGCCGTATCGGTGCGTTTGAAGTGCATGTCGTGCAGAACACATGGGATGCTGAGCGGTGTTGTCCAGGGCTTCTGGGCAACAGCCAGCATCGAGGTCCACCAGTGAATCATCCCAATGGTCTGTTTTGCTCGGCTTGCGCTGGGAACATGCCAAGCTGCGTCAGGAACTCAGAGACATAGTTGTTCGCACCGGGTTGAAGGCAGCACAGAAACCATGCTGCCCTCTGACAACGCCAGGGGACTCACCGAACCGCCCTGTCAATCTGGCATGAACTCTTGCGCAACGGCTCCTGGTTTTGAGCCTGATGCTGGCAATGGAGAACGCTGCTATTTCATTCGAAGAGAGCCCACTTCTGCTACGAAGAGTTATTATGCTCACACATTTTGTGAAGAACTGCAAAGATGTTCCAGTGAGTGGTTTTCCCCAGGGCTGGCTCCAAGGCGAGCGGGAACTCTGCAGCACTCGACTGTTGAGGTTTTATCAGTCCACTAGCACCCTCAGCAACCCAGGTTTTGAAGAGTTTGTACAGGGTGTGTTTGTGACCAGTTTTCGCCACATGTGTCAATCTCGCACAAAATCAATCTCATGCAGCGGCGCAGAAGACCTCAGAGAAGATATGGCGCTTCGAACATGAAGACCAGTTTTCTTTGCCACCTGTGCGGTCGCTGATCGGTTCCTGTCCTGCTGGCTTTACGTTGTCTTTCCTCAATCTGTTCTTTCATTGAGTCTCTCTTCTGTGCCTTCTTTGCGTTCTCCACTGCTCCTCCTTCTTATGGCCCATTGTGCAAGTCGGGGCTCCTTGCGCGAACATGATCCGTGAGAAGAACGGGTATTCAATTTCATGAGTGGATTCCTAGTTGTGCACTTTTACACACATCAGTATGCTCTGCAGCTGCGGCATGGTCAGCAATATGAGGGGCGTCTCATCTGAGCGCTCAAGGTCATAGGTTCCTGCATTTGTTCCCGGTAGCACTTTAAGAATTACTGTCCACTCCGGGGATGAACCAACCCAATGTTTTTCAGTTTTGATGCGAAGGTTTGGGAATTCGGAGGTGAAGAGCACACGTTGCTGCATTCCAAGCTGTGGACCAGAAAGTGGCCGGGTCTGCAGTACATTCTGGCACGAATTGGAATGGCGACTCAGATGAGCTGTTGCCAATGCTTTCAGATAGAATGGAAAACTAAGACCAGAAAAGACTGACCCTAAACCTCTGCAAGGATCTGAGAGCAAGAGTCCATGAACCACTAGGCTAGCGCACTCGTGCACGCACCTGGCACCAGTCTTTGTGGCCTGTAGCTACCATGCAGATCCTCGTAATGACACCATATCAGATGAACAGAATGTTTCGTTTTGCAAGAGGAGCATTACCAGGGAAAGAGGTAGCAGTACAGGCAATCTTGCAGAGCCCAACCCAGCCGAATCCCCAACTACCACCTGGTTGTTCTATGGGCACAACTGTTAGTCCCTCATTTGAGCTTCTCACTATTCGACAGAGTGTTCGAACGGTAGGCATAATACAGACATCTTGCAACTGTAGCAGGATTGACAAAGTTAATATTATGGTAACAATCGGAGTGGTAGTAAGAATGGGCAAGCAGAACGCTTTTGCCCTCAGTATTTTCGGTGTTTTCATTGATTATGAATCAGGAGCATGGAAGAAGGTTTTGAAATCCACCTCTGCTCTCTAGAGATACTAGTACGAATTTCAATAACGGCGGCCAAAAAACTTGAGCGTAGATGTGGTAAGACGGCTGAAGTAACAGTAAGACCTTGAAAGTCTTCTAAGGCGATCATCCCACCACCACCAGTACAAGTACCAGTTCCAGAAGCAGTCTTGGCTTTAAGAGGTTGGCCGGCCTTTTTTGACGGGCCTTGGCCGTCTGTGAATTGCTGCGACCGACACCGACAAGAGTATGCAGACGCAGAACGTGCATTTGCAGACTACTGCTTTGAAGTGGCGGAGCTCGTGCCTGGTGTGAGAGTTGAAAGCAAGAATCAGAGTGCGGATCAAGGCCGCCGTGAGTTGCAGAAGGCCACTCTGGTGAACAACGAGCTGGAAAGACCCTTAAATGAGTGGCTCTGCCAGGTGCAGTCTTGGAGTCAAGTGGGCAGCTCAGCCCCCGTTTTTCCCACCATACAACAAGGAAGACCAGATCTTACCATGCTGAATGGTGACAACAGTCTAAAGGAAGATCTTCAGAAGACTGTCCAAGAACGCGCAGACCAGCTCCGAGAATCTTTCTTGGCCAGCGTAGACGTCGTCAAAGCTTTGCAGCTTCACCGTGCAAAACAAGAACTCATGAACAGCTTCAGCCAGCGTGACGGTGCAAGGCACTTGAACGCAATCCACTTGGCCTTGGAAATTGGCCTTTGCAACGAAGACATTCCCTGTGTCTTCCAGGTCTCTCGCAGAGTGCCGATTGATGTTCCGAATGTGGAGAATGATGACAAAAAGTCAAAGCTCGCCTCCGAGCAGCTGAACCACGAAGACACGTGTATCCAGTATGTGTTGGAACCATTTCCTTGCCAGAGGCCTATGATTCGAAAGTCCATGGGTCTTGCTGTCCAACATGAGGTTGTGATTGAGGAGACGGGTGGAAAGGACGGGAAAAGGCTCGTGATCGGATGCTGGCTTTGTCTTTGCACTCGTTGACTGTTTTTGCGTACCTTGTATTTGCTAAAGCTGACAGGGAGGAAGGCACGGCAGTCGCACAAGCTTGCATGGACTCGTACAGACTCGTACTTGTACATCTCCACCCCAATGCATCTTTGCTTCCTTGCGCTGCTTTGGCCCTGATTTGGTTCAGATTCTGATCTGTCTTGGCATAAGGAGAAGACGGCTTGCTTTTCTTGGGGCTCATGAGGACAAACCCCAATGTCACGATATTCAGACCCATCGAAGCACTGGATGCTGTCTTTGAGAGACAAATTAATCCCGTGGAACTGCCTGGTTCCTACAATCCTGACCGCGCCAATACGACCTATGAGTGTCGCATCAAGTCGCTTCCAATCTTCACTTCCAACGTCTACGAGGTCTTGCGTCAACTGCCTAATCTGAACGAGAAAGGGCAAGATTTGAGCTGCGAAAGCGTCACGATGCAGCTGTGTTTCGTTTTGGACTACACAGGAAGCATGTCGAAGCAGATCGAACAGGCCAAACGCAGTGTGTCTCAAATTATTGCAAGCGCACAGAAAGTTTGCAATCCTATGCGGCCAGGAGCACCCATTGATCTGAAAATGACAGCAATTGATACAACGATTGGGACCCTGGTAAGGTAGGCCTGTGGCAGCGTTTGGCGGGACAAAAATCTTTGGCAATGAGAGAGGATGTAATTTCAACCTGGGTGGAGAATTCACAGAAAATGCTGACCGGGTCAAAGAGTGGCTGTGCCAGGGCTTGGGAGAGGGTGGTGGAGAGCCCGAGGAACTCACCGGGGCTCTTTTGGCGGCTTCGCACCTGAAGTGGGACTCCGATGTAATGCTGGTGGTGGCGATTACAGATGCTCCATGCCACGGAACAGCATATAGCAATGCGTCGCCAGACGGCTTCTGCGATACGGGGACTGGTCTGAGTTGCACTGGCATACCGGAAGTCCCCCTGGAAGCTCTCAAAGCAAAACGTGTCAAGGTGGTCGTCTTACATCCGCCTTCCAACAGTTCAGCTGTCAGCCAGATGTGCCAGAAACTGTCGTCGAACGGTTTGATCGGGATAGGTGTAGATACCAGCATGATATGTGATCGAATGGTGTCCATGATCAAGGCAGAGCTGGAGCAGGTGAAGCCTAAGATTTCTTACCTCCTTCAGCCATTAACATTCAACAAGCCTACAGGCCACCCGGAAACTTCAGTCTGGCTGCTGGTCACGAGGCAGAGATTGAGGAGGGTGGCAAGAAGGAGGTTCTTCGAATAGGATCCTTAGATTGCTCTAGGGCCCTGATGTGTGTTATTTTGTATGCATGAAGCGCTTTCTCTGGATGACTCCTTTTTGAGCAGATTTCCCCAATCATGTATTTCAGATATAAAACACGTTCCGGAATCAGCTTCCTGTTTTCATAGCATGAAATATGAGTATAGCCAAATCTAAGGAAAGGATGGCTTGTTTTTCTTGGGGCCCAGGGCGATGAGCCCCAGGGTGACGATCTCCCGACCCAATGAAGAGCCATATGCATGGGACAAGTTTTTTGAGAGACGCAGTTTTCCGATCCAACTTCCACAATGCTGGGATCCAAAGCATGCCCATGACTACCCAACGCAAATCTTGTTTGCGTCTGGTACCGTCACAACTGAATAGGTGTGACAACGAACAACACTCCTAAAGGCGCAAGGCATTGGATTTTTCGTTGCTATGCACTTGCTTCCATTTCGGTGACTCGTGTCTCACGAGAGGTGATGTCGCCCTTGTTCGTTTGCACATACATATTGGGCTTCACCAGGAGCCCTTCTTCAAGGGATGTTTCCTTTGCGAGCATTATTATGGCAGCTCTTGAAAAGACGCAGCCAAGTGCAGAAGACTGCCAGCATTCTGGGGCCCGCTTGGAAATCCAAGCAGTTTGGACTCAGCCGAATGAAGGACGAACAGGGTTTTGAGATGGTGCGCAGGCCTGCTAGCACAACTTTGCAGAATTTTTGCGCAAGGTCTGTGTTGCAGGTTGACCTTCTCATCCAGGATTCCAGCATTGGATCCGAAAGGTTGCCTTTAGAAGATTCAGAAGCTACAGCTGTCCACAGCTGACATCCAGAGAGAGACGCCATCGGCGAAATTGGGGGCTTCCCAAAATTAGGGGTACCTCATGGGGGTCCCTATAATAAGGATCATACTATGTGGGGGTCTATATTGGGGTCCTCCTATTTTGGGAAATTACCAATTCATGCTGGAGAGTTGAACCTGGCTTGTCCGTGGCCGTGCTTCGAAGCGTAATGCATCCATAGCATCTATAGGGCCCAGATTCATCTGAGTAGTATTTGATTTGGGGATACTATGGTACCCAATATAGAGTAAGATTCTATCCTCCCTTTGGGGTATAGTATTTTATATAAGGAATATTATCTTACTAGGTTCAACCACCAAAAATAACACTACTCATCTAGAGACGCTGCCAAGAAGCGCTAGGCCTTCGCAGGCGCCGCGCTCGATCCCAGCCCCAATTGGCCAAGGCCATGGCACCGCAGACCAGGTTTAGGGTGTACCCAGGCAGGATCTAGCAGGTAGAGTAAATATGGTACCCTATATTATTACTACTACTACTACCACTACTACTACTACTACTACTACTAGCCGCCCCCCCCCCTACCAACTATGTTCCCTTAAGTGTCAGGCATGGACTGTCAAGAGCC